AGAGAGAGAGAGAGAGAGAAGATACTAAGTATTGTAGCAAAAGGGAGAGAAACAGAAATGAAACATATAACTATGGATAGATAGCGATGGATAGATATGGGACAGAGATATAAGACACGAAGTAACGTGGCTACGGGAGAGAGACAGAGACGAGACAACGAGTAATATAAGGACAAGAAAAGAAATGAGATGCTAAGTAACACAGCTACGGGATGGATGTTTTGATGCGCACCTTCTCTAAGCATGTCACGCTCTAAATTGAATGCTTAATGTCGGCGCTAAGTTATTGCTTTGGGCGTCAGGTCGCCGACGTGTCCCCGCCCTATTCCTGTATATTGGTATAGCCAGGGACCTTCGGCAGAGCAGTGCCACCACGTTGAAGTAGCGATTCGAGTACCGTACTTTCGATTACGACTTACGATTCGAGTTACGAGTACGGATCGAGCGAGGGTGGACTTTTCGATGAGCACCTTCTCTAGGCATGCCACGCTCTAAATTAAATGCTTAATGTCGGCGCTAAGTCATTTGCTTTGGGTAATAGATCGCCGACGTGTCCGCGCCCTATTCCTGTAGGTATATTTGTATAGGCAGTATAGCAATTCCAGTGTACTTCGGCAGAGCAGTGCCACCACGTTGAAGTAGCGAGTGTGGGGTTTTCGATGAGCACAGTCTCTAGGCATGCCACGCTCTAAATGCTTTCCATGAACAAAATAAATGTGTGTAACGGCATAGTCATGATCTCTTTAATGTGTTTTGACGCCACAGGATGGCGCTACGTTAGCGACTGATTTATGATTGATAAATGATTTAGCGATGATTTAGCGATTATGATTTATGATTTATGATTTAGCGATTGATAAATGAGATGATCTGACGGAACTTTATAAAAATGAATACGTGTAAAAGAGTTGCAGTAGGTTTAAAGCGTAACAGTTTGCGGGATTATTTTGGCACTTCAACTTGTTATGCTAGGACACAGTTATGTCACACATACGTATTGCCAGATAGTGAATTGAAGTCTTCTTATGATGCTGTTATTGTAGGAGGTGGTAAGTTATCTGCGCAATCACAGGCCCTTGGAGGCTCAAGTTTCAAGAAGAGTAGGCCTAGCCTAAAAGAGCGAAGCGGCCTAGGCTCTTTTACTCTTCTTGAAACTTGAAACTTGAGCCTTCAAGGGCCTGTGGTGCAATACTGAATACTGTCATTGACATCAGTGTGAGTCACTGAGTCGTAGATACAATTATGTAACCCACAACACAGGATAGGCCCTATCCTGTGTTTGGGTAGACCTAGCTCTAGTACTATAGCCCGCGGATCGCTGCCGCAGGCCGCGGACCCTGCGGCAGCGATCCGCGGGCTATAGTACTAGAGCTAGGGTAGACCGAATAATTCTGTCCCATATAACCTTTTTTATATTTTGGTGAGGGTTATATTGGGACAGAACGGGGTTCATTGAAATTTCGTGAGATCGCATGCAAAATGCATGCGCTGGTAATGCGGCTCGTACGCCGCTATTGGCGCGGGAAAAAACCTACCGTTCCCTTCTACATGGCTTTACCTTGCTACTGATATGTGTATACATTCACTTCAATCGTTATTTACTTCATAAACGATTGTTTTTCAGAAACCCCGCTTCATTAACTTTAGTAAATTACGTTGGCCATTTACAAACAATCAGTCCAATCACAGCGAGTCTATCAGGCCTCCTGCAGCGCCACAGATACAAGCGAGAACCAGGGGCTATTGTAAGACTCGCTGTGATTGGTCTGATTGTTTGTCAATGGCCAACGTAATTTACTAAAGTTAATGAAGCGGGGTTTTTCTGAAAAACAATCTTTTAAGAAGTAAATAACGATTGAAGTGAATGTATACGCATAACAGTAGCAAGGTAAAGTCATGTAGAAGGGAAAGGGAGGTTTTTTTGCGCGCCAATGCGGCGTACGGGCCGCATTGCCATTAGCAGCGCATGCATTTTGCATGCGATCTCACGAAATTTCAATGAACCCCGTTCTGTCCCAATATAACCTTCACCAAAATATAAAAAAGGTTATATGGGACAGAATTATTCGGTCTAGTGTTTGGGTTACATTATTGTATCTAACCGAGTCGGTGAGTGACTGTGTCTGACGGTCTGTGCCACAGGAACGTTTCAATAGGGCCTACTACTACTACTAGTACTAGTAAAATGATGGTAAATAAACACGAAATGTATTTACTACCAAAGACTTAATGTTAATTTTCTCTACTCTATTTCGCCTATTATTGCCGATAACTTCCTGTAAATGCCGTTCAAATGCTCCTCTGCAACACACATGTACACCGCACGCACGCCGCTGTGCACAAACAACAAGAATAAAGAATAAACTTGGTAGTGAATACATTTCGTGTTTATTTACCATAATTTTATTATTGAAACGTTCCAAGTGCCTGTGGTCTGTGCCACGTTGTTGAGTCTGAGGTGGATCCGAAATGCTTAAATTTCACATGAAGCCTATAGCTG